TATCTGCAGGTAGATATGCGCAAGTTTGTGTTCTAGTCTGCTCTGATAAATGTACTCATGATTCCCATGCATTTTTGACACCTAGGTTTCATTACTATCATTCATTATAACTGAAAGAGTTTCAGCTGATTTGTTCCGTGGCAGTCTTTTGGCTGAGCCACACAAGTTGTTGCGAAAAATCCCCCCTGGTCCATTTTCACTCATTAGTCTTAACTGGATATGGGGGTCTAATGAAAGAGTCATCTCCCTGTAAAAATAGTGCCGTCTGCTTAGTTACACAGCCTGCCTGCTAAGTAGAAGGAAGTAGCAATGAAGGGTCACATTTCAAAGACTACAAGAAAGAACTGGAGTGGTGATAAACTGAACTAATGCATTCTTAATGAGAAGAAACTCTTCTATTACTTTGATGGGATGCATGGAAAGAAGTACTGCATGCTCGGAAATAGTAAAACTCAGAAAGCCATTTTTAACGCTGTTGGAGAAAGAAGGAAGTAACTGTGGCAGAAGTCTTATAAATTCTGCTTGTAAAATGCAAAAACTGTGTTAGCATGATCCTTTGATAAAGATTTAAATTCAAAGGTGAGAGATGTCAGATGTGCTCGGATCCCTACACAACTAAAAGCTTTTGGGGCTGGATAAATTTTGGGCATACAGCACAAGCCTTGCAATCTGTCTAGTCCACTGACCGCTGAACATTTCCAACATCCTATAATAAATTTAGGATAATAAGAAAATGCAGAAAGCCACACTTTTAATGTACCAGAGGTAACTCAAAGAGTGTTACCAATGGCTTGGGTGCCCTCAATAGCAGAAGATTTCTTAAAGACAGCTCTCAGACATTTTGGGAAAGTGGCCTTGGCCACACTCTGCAGTAGAGGAGGAGGAGTAATAAACATAAAAGAGTAATACGTGTTTGGAGGAGAAGTACATCCTGGTTCCACATCCACCAATAGTTTTAACATCGGTCAGATGAGCAAGATGCATGTATGAGGCATACTCAAGGAATGTCAGTCTTTTAGGAACAGTGTACATCAACCAACAGTCCGTCTCCAGCTCTGACCAAATTCCAGTGCTTCAGCAGAAAGAGGTGAAAAATCAGACAAGAAACCAGTTGTTACTTTGTACTCTGAGTGGAGAAAAAAGTCCTCAGCCTCCGTGAGTGACCAGTGGGAACCCAAAAGCATGGATTTAATGCAGTGTAAACAAAGTGCCAAACAGACACATTTTTCAGACCTCATTGATGCTACCAGCTCAGTGTTCGTTCAAGAACTCACAAAACAATCTTAATTTTCTATATCTAAGAGCACTTTGCTCATGTTTTATGATCTGTTTGATCAGCATTTAAAGCTCTGTCTTAAAATAATGCTGGTTCTTGCAGGAATTTGGAAGATCCCTTCTGAACTTCACTTTTTGGATAGTTGGAAATCTTCTTTTAAATTTAAGACTATGATTACTCATGACCCAGTTTACAGACCTGTGATCATGTGCTGACACTACCATTTTCTTCCTTCTCTGTTATTTACATTCCGTATGAGAAAGAATCATCATATTCCTCAGCCACTGTGATGCTAAGCAAACAATTGAAACTTAAAAGTTATCTTTGTATGACAGATACTCATTGCTCTAAACATTCAAATATGTTTTCTCTGCTTCAATTCTGATTTAAGCTCATCTTTAATTAACACAGATGACTAGTGCTTTACACAGAATTCCAGAGGAGGTCTTCTCCAATGGTACTAACACTTCTGTAGCTCTACTAAAAATATTTTGCCACATCCATTGTAGAACTGCGTAAGCTCTTTTCACAGAGCCACCTTCCTGGCTTTTATACGTTTTTATTTTCTAGACTTCAGCATTTCCAATTAAACAGTTCTGTGTATACACCCAAAATTATGCATTGTTTTAAAGGGGCCGGGGGGAGGACTGCTAAATTTTATCCTATTCATATTACCTGTGCCAACAAAGTTGTCTTTCTCTTCTCAAGTGATGAGTGAGTCCTTCTCAACAATATTACAACCTCCTGGCTTTTATACTTGCATTTTCTAGACTTCAGCATTTCCAATTAAACAGTTCTGTGTATACACCCAAAATTATGCATTGTTTTAAAGGGGCCGGGGGGAGGACTGCTAAATTTTATCCTATTCATATTACCTGTGCCAACAAAGTTGTCTTTCTCTTCTCAAGTGATGAGTGAGTCCTTCTCGACAATATTACAACCAACTTTGTGTTGCCCATGAATTTTATGAGTGCACACCTAATTCTTGCTCTTAGGACACTAATAAACATATTGATGGTTCCTAAAACTAATCCCTGAGAAACACAACTAGCAAATTCCTCCTCTCAAGTAACACCCCTTGTAATATACCCTATTTTTGTCTCTGTTTATCCAGCTTCTTATCCAACTTCAGAGTTTTTATACTAATTTGCATCATTTCCACTTAAAGTATGAGTTTCCTATGAGGACCTGCAATAAGCATTTTATATAATAACTAAATATACTAGATCTGACACATTATCCTTGTTTAAGAAACTGAAAACTCTAAACAATCCCCAAAAGTAATGATTTTAACCACAGATAATCCCATTGTAATTACTCCCATTTTTAATTTTCATATGTGTTTTTAATCACTCATTTCAAATCCGTTCTAAATGTGCACAGTGCTGAAGTCAAACTAACAGCCATGAAATCACTTGACATACTTTTCCCCCCTCTTCTTGGGCGTATTTGCCCAATCCATCATTGCATACTTCTGTCATCTGGTACTATCTCCAAATGATATATATTTAAAATCTTTTCTACTTGTGCTTCCACCTGCCAGTGTCTTCAGTACTCTAGAACGAAGATAATATGGACCCAATGATTTTGTCACACTAAGCTACGTATATTTGACTTCCCTTTCAAATGATATAATTCCCATTGAATTATCATCATTCTCCTTAGCTATCCTTTCAATATCTTCATGTACATCAACTTCCTGGAAATTGGGGAAAAGCATTTATTCAACAACAGATAAGCTATACATCAAGAATAATGTAGGCATGCCCAGCTTACCCTTCAGGTCACTGCCATGGCCTCACTTCATCGCTTTATTTCTTTATTGTTCCAGTAACTAAAAAAAATATGGCTTTGTTTTACTTTTCTGTGCAAGGTACAGTTCAACAAGGCCTTTATCCATCATTCTTTTGCTTCTATGTTTTATAATGCCTGAAAAAAAGTTCTCCTTGATAATCAAGGCCTCTTCTCACTCTTTGGGAGTTTTGTACCTATTTTTAGTACCTTCCTTTAATTATTGATTCAGAGACTCTGGCCCTTTCCTACAATTTCTCCCTCCTGCCCAGCACACATAGATTATTTCCATTCTTAATGTAAATGCATCCTTTCCTGCATTCAAATCATTAAGTTCCTCAGGCCAGTCATCTTCATTCACTGATTTTTCTATTTTCTAAAAGTTTACCATTCTAAATTACCAAGCCTTAGCTATAGATTTATTTTTGTCCATCTTGCACTTTAAGAAGAACCGAATCCATTCATAATCACTTCCTCCTAGAACATTAGTTTTTGGTCAGCTGTTCCACAAGATCCTCCTCACGCAATAATCCTAAGCTTAAAATAACACCCACTTTGTTGTTTTATGAATTTCTGTACCAAAAAGTCAGTCTTCTGAAATGTCTAAGAATATCTAAACCTTGCTATTATTGATGGTATTTATGTCTATGTCTGGAAAATTTAAGTCTCCTATGGTCATACAATTTCCCTTATTATTTATTTCTTTATCTATTTATAGAGATGATTACCCTCTTCCAAGTCTTAGCCTGTCAGACCATAATATCCCCTTTTCCCCAAATACTGTCCAATTTGGGCCTCTTTTACCATCTTCCTTGCAGTGATTTTCATCCTAACAGATTATGTTTTATTCATGCCATCACATTTTAAGATGAATAAACACAATTTGGCTGTTTTACTTTACTACAACACCAAATTTCCTGACTTTTATGTATTTTAAGTTACATCCACATAGGCCTGTATATAAAATTTCCTTGTTTTCTTTTTAGATTGAAGAAACCCCAAGGAAAAACAGTATGAGCTTCCCCACCCTTTCACAAAGTGATTATAAATGTACCTATTCATGTTAGATTAACTTAACAGCATTTGGTTTGGTTTGGTTTTTATTTAGCAATATACACTAGTTATGAACAGTTCTTTTCTCTACCAATGTTTTCTCCCACTCACTACTCATCCACTTAAACGAGGTATAGGTGATACTGAAATAGCGATCAGATTCTAATCAATGTACATCATTCATAATGTACAGAAAATGTGTAGTGTTCAAAAAACCCCAAAAGACAGAAATTTGAACAGTAGGGAACACCAGGAAGTGTAGAGATTTACCTCCTATCCACACTGTTAGCATGTAAACATGCTGTCATGCATGTCAAATTCTAGAGTTCTGTGGAGGAAAATTGCCCAAAAATCTGCAGCCACCATCTCTCATAGCCATCAATCTTAGGGTCTGCTCACAGAGGATAGGCAAGGAATGAATTACAGCATAGTCCCTCAGGAAATATGCCAAGCTCAACTCTTCTTAAACATCGCTACAGCCTAAGTTACAATTCAACAGAAAGTTTGCAGGTTGCCGTTCTCAGCGGTAATAGGTTGTTATCATGCACTCGAGTATAAACATTGCTATTAAAATGCCTAGACATTCTCTGAAGTGTTAAAATTAAGTCCTCCTGTGACTAATCTTATAAATGATAATCAAAAGACTGCATATCGACTCATTTTATTTCCTATCTGAAGAGGATAGGGAACTTAACCTTAGCTTTCAAAAAAATTTATAGCTAAGCCAGTACTGTAATACATTTCTTCCAGTCAGCGTTGCTGTGATTTAGATGAGAAGCAGCAAGAAAGATTGGAGCTGTCACACTTGACTTTGAGCTGCCAAGAAGAGCTATTGGAGGTTACAGGCTAAGGTTTAATTATATTCCTCCTTTTGTTACAGGCAGAGATGGTACGTGCTGCTTTCCAAGCACAGAGATCTTTCCTGGTGTTAGCATCTCAATGTCAAGAGCCTCAAGAGGTAAGAAAACTGACCTAGCATTTCAAGAGGCAGTGTATTAAAATCCCGTATGTTTAATATCAATCCCTGCATTTGCTTTTATTTGTTACTTTATTTATACAATGCTCTTACAGGCTTGCTTTCAGTGTTATTAGCATGGCACTGTAATAATCAGAAAGTCATGGTTCAGAGTTAAGACCCTTTTCTGTACTAACACACATAAGACTGTTGAAGAAATCAAAGGAGATTTCTACTTTATGGCTGTGAGTGGGATCAGTGTTTCTCTGGAAGCTGGAAATGCCATGGAATAGAATGGCTGTTTGCTAGCCCCGCAGGGATGTTCTATGACAGACTTTGAAGTCGGGGGATAAGCTATTGAGAGAAAAATCAATGCTAGTCCCTAGACTCAGTATTCTCCAGGCTGAGGTCCAGGTTAGGCCAATTCTGGAAGGAAGGCAAAAGCATTTTGTCAAGAAAACAAAAAAACAATTTATATCAAGTTGATTTCTATACTTAGTTACAACTACTTAAATCCTCCGCTCACAACTAGAAAGCTCAGGGAAGCTGCGGAGCTGTTACGAAATCTCATCTGTAGTTTCTGGAGGGCACAAGGTTTTGGCCAATAGCACTGTATCATTCCTGGGAATAGCGATCATGCAGCCCTTCTGTGGGACCACCCTCAAACCTTCCTTCTTGGAGTGTGCAGAGAATGAAGACTTTACTTGCACAGTCTCTCCTCGGCCTTCATTTCCGTCTTTTTCCACAAGCTCCCCACTCCATTGTTCATTAAACTCCGTATTTTCAAATCAGAACTCTCTGCCACTGGTATAAATTAGTGAAATTTTGCTGTCACTATTGTTCTTAGAGACACAAATTAAAAGTTTTTCTAATCAGTATGTTTTAATGGCAAGGGTACTCAAGGAAAAAAAAGCACAGATATTCCAGGTGAGACTTTAGATTTATAGAGTTCCAAGTAAGAAGGGATCAGTTGTTTTTCCAGCTGTCCCTGATCTCAGAGAGTAAAAGTGGGTCATGACTCGCGGAGAACAGGCAAAATTCCCATTGGTACAGGCCTCAAGCAGTCATTTATAGTGGCTGTGGATACAATCACACCCGTGGCCCACAAAACTCTTCATGCTCATAGGTAAAATATTCCCCAATGAACAGTTTCCAGTGGCCCATAATGTAATGCAATGTTCTGAAGTGTTGGTATTGTCCCAGGTCTGGTAAGAGTAAAAGCTCACTGTTTGGCCTCCTGTGCTGATGCGCTATCGGTATGATTTTCTCTGCTTTTCAAGTGGGAATGGCAATGGCTTCTCCCCACTTTCACCTTTACAACTTTCTGACCTCAAGGCTTTGAGATTTTTTCAGCTGTAAAGTTTAGAAACTTTCATTTAAAAAATGGCAACACAACAAGCAAAAAAAAAAAACAGATGTAAAAAGAGATTCTCCGGCCATCCAGAATGACAGTTACAGAAGCATTAAGAAAAGCAACAAAAAATACAAACCTTGCTATAAGCATCACCAGAGCTGGCCATGTGTATCCATATGTCTTAGTTGCACGTTATCAGGCTTGCATAGATTTCTGCAACTTGTTGAAGGCAAGAAAGTATACTTTTATCTTTTAACTATCTGTTAGCACCAAGGAAATGCCACATGATATGTGTGTACACATCATTCCGAAGTTAAAATACCAGGAATATTCCAGTCTAAAGTTCTTTTCTCAGTGAGAACAAACCCAGTCCAGTTACTTAAGTTTTTTTAAAATAAGACTGTTAGGTACAGATTTTTTATAGGCATCCAAACACACGTTGTTGTTCATTCTTTTTCTCTTTTTTGCACATATTTTTTGCACAGATACATTCAGCTATACTATAGACAGACCTGAAAATAATTGAAGGCTGCCTATTCTGTGCAACTTGAACAGCATTTTCCACTGCAGAGAGTGACAGTTCCTGTCACTAGGCTTTTTATATCTCCATGTCAATGAGGAAAAAAATCCTATTGTAAAGCCACGTTGGTTAACCGTTTTGAAAAAGCTGCTTATCACCAGCTAACCCCGGAGAAGGAAAGAAGCAGGGGTCCTCCCCCCTGCCCCCCAGGACTTTTTTGATGTGATGTCATCTGGGCTCGGGTTGTATTTATAGCCTAGAGCCACGGAGTCAGTGTGGAATCCAAACAGGAAAGCTAATCATTAGTGTATCAGAATGCACAGAGTAGAGAAAAGCAAATGAAGATGACAGCATATCTATAAATGCAAGAGAAAAGAGAGTAATTCTGTCATTCAGCTGTCTAGACTGTTTGCTTTATAATGTAAAGCTGTGAATGAGCCAGCGAGTTGCGATTATGGCATAGTAGCTTTGTAGACATTCAGAGACAGCGGTGTGGAGACTGAGGGGATTTACTGAGTTCCTGTCATGTTGGGATGTCGTACGTGGTGCCTTTAAAAAAAAAGAGGGAGGGGAAAATGCCCTGGAAAAATAAATTAGCTCAGCTCTTGCAGCTTACAAATTAATGAATAAGGAATTCAAACAAAAAGAAAGCTCCTATATGTATAATAATCCTTAGATTTGTGCTCGGCAAAGAGAGAAATGTATATCGTACAAAAAGCAGTATTTTTTCCGCTCTATGAAAATGTTGAAGCCCTAGTATTCACTTAGCTCTTTAACTCCTGCTGTGAGTCACTAGCAAACATTTCCAAACAGTTAAGCTTGCTGGAGTTGCTTTTGAAGAGTTTTCCTTCTTCTTAATAATGTTGATATTTTTTCATTTGGAATCTGTTGCAGTGCACAGCCTTTATTATCTGTATATGTGAAAATAGTAGGAGCCAAGAAGGTAATTCCAGCTGGCATACCAATCTAGCATCAACTGCAATAAATTACTTCGCAGAGAGCATGTTCTGTTACTTTTTATGGTCATGTTCTATATTTGTATGTGCAGTGGAAGAGATCACATGACCAAACCACCGGTTGATATTCCTGTTTGTGTAAGTCCCAGCTAATGGCTGCTGGATACAGGCTTATTCAGCACGATGGGATTCTTCAGTTCATCCACTTATTAGAAATTATTTTCTGATGCCAAACTTCAAACAGTAAAGCAAAAAAAAGTCTATTATAAATTGTTTATATGAGATAGTAAAAAGAAGATGGAAAGGTAAAATAAATTAGAATATTGCTATATTCTGTGAGTTGTTTAAAAAGGTATTTTGAGACCATACGTTTACATGTTGCTTGGGCAATTCAGAAGATGTATTTTAACATAACACTTCACAAAATATTATTAAATAGTTTGGATCTGAATTTTCTATTCCCTATAGTCTAAGCCAAATACAATTCTGATTGAAACATTATTATGGTATAATAATTTTAAAAGTTATTAGTGTTCCTGAGCAATTTTATCTGTTTAACAATTTTTTTTTAATTTATGATCACGAATACTAATGTACAAGATCACTGCTCAAAGTCATTGCACTGAATTCTTTGTGAATGGTAACTTATATACTGTCTTCTCTTTATGAGTTGTTTCATTTCACTTTAAAAGTTCAAACAATTTTAAGAGTTGCTTTGAGGGCATGAATAATCCATTGTTCCCATACTGGGAACTAGTTAATGAGATAAATTTTTCTGTGAATCAACATAAATGTATGCAGGATGAGCATAGTCATGGTAAAAATCACTACAAACAGATTTAAATGACAGATGCAGTTCAGACTATAAATGATTACGTAATTTCTCATTAAAAAAAATGCTGAGTTCATATGACTGCCAGAGCTCATGGATTTAATTACTAACATTGTGCAGACAAACATTCCAATTAAATACCTAGCTTAAATATCCAGATTCTACACACAGGTGGGAGGAGAGGGGTAGAAGAAAGTGAGAGGTAAGGGAGGGCTTTCCCTTTTTTTCCTAGAAAAGGGAAAAAAACCCTTGAAACCCAAGAAACTGTGTTTGAAGTTAGACTTAGAGCCATGAGAACAAATCCTGAGGTTTTTAATTTTTTCTAGTCAAGCAAAAAATATATTGTAGGAACAGAATAGTTGTGGCAATTTCTTTGAATAAAGGACTCATTCTCAGAATTTTTATGTAGAAATCAGAGATGGAGATTTACAGTTCCCTACTCTATGTCAGTGTAGGATTGCTCACTTTTTCTCACTTCTGTTTTTAAAGTACTTCAGTAACAGGACTCCTGGGACTTCTTATTCTGCATCCTGGCAGGATTTGTTTTCTAATTACCTTGACTTGATTATGTCATTCCATTTCCCACTACTTTTCCTCATACTTACTGGGATCACCCTTACTGTTTACCAAAAATACGAAGAGCGGGATACTCGTCACCTTGTTAATTTATTACTTACTTATGTAAAAGAGTTAAAGCCAAGTTTTGCTGCCATTCTACTCAGTTGGTTGACTGCTGCAAACCTGCACCTCTGTATCTAGAAATAGCTTAAGGAAGAATTTGGTTCAGTCCTTTTAAGGTCCTCAGGTCCCAAACTTACAGAAGGTGCCAAGGGTGACTTGGACAGAGCCTGGGAGTCCTGAGCTCCAAAGGGAACCCCTTCCCCCCTTCTGTTCTCTGAAATCTTGCCAAACTGTTGACATATTTCTGTTATCAGCAAGCCTACAACTGCATGCGACATGTGGTCACAGCCGCAGTGATGGACCAACTGACAGTTTTCAGTCGCTAGCCTGCTGCCTTACGGTGTTTACAGGCTCATTTTTGGATATTGTGCAAATTCTTACTCAGTTTTAGGTCCACTTTAATTCTTGATTATTGCTTCATTATTGCCAGTCTCCAGATAGCCCCCTGACACCTGTTATCTCATAATTTTGTCTCAAAGGGTGTTGACTGCATTTAACCAGCCTCAAGCTCATTATATTTTCTGATCATAGAATCACAGAATCATTTAGGTTGGAAAAGACCTTTAAGATCATCGAGTCCAACCGATAACCTAGCACTGCCAAGTCCACCACTAAACCATGTCCCTAAGCACCACATCGACACGTCTTTTAAATACCTCC